CTTAAAGTAAATTAATGCTAATGCTTAGCATTAATTTACTTTCTAGGAATTTAAAGGGTCAGCCACACTTGGATCGTGGCCCCAGTGGGATACTTACATTAGCTTTAAAAAAAAAAACTCAGTTCAGCTTAAGTTTTTTTTTTTTTTTTTTTTTTTTTTGTGAGTATAACATAAGACAATTTTAAAAGTTTGTTGGTTGCAAATGCAGAAAGTAAAAAACTTTTCTATTAGTAAAAACGCAAGTTTTATGTTATGCAGGGAGGGGAGGAACCAGTATGAAAAGACCTTCGGCCTTCCATCTGACGACGTCTTCCAAGCCATTTACAGGTTGGTGCTTTATAACGCTTCATCATTTTTATCTTGTTTGTTGGTAATGGATGAATCTACCTCACAGGTCTGAGGAGGAGATGCTTAAATTCATGGGGCTGATGAACTCCTCCTGGGTTCTCGATGGACACGACGTTGTGACGGCGTTTGACCTCTCTCGCTTCCAGAGGATAGTTGATCTAGGAGGTGAGGACCTGTAGTGGTCCACCATGCCGATGTGTGGATGGCGTTAAAAACGCTTTGACTTCTCAACCCCCAGGTTGCACTGGAGCTCTGGCCAATGAAATTGTGAAGGCATATCCCGCGTCTAACGTCACCGTGTTTGACCTGCCAGAGGTTATAGCAGCAGCTCAGAGACATTTCTGTCTAGAAGATAACCGCGTCGCGTTTCAGTCCGGTGAGCCTGATGGATGGTTGATCATGTTGCTTTGTTTCTATTTGCTTTAATCCGTTTCCTCCTCTGCATGCAGGAGATTTCTTCCGAGGTGAAATTCCCACTGCAGACCTGTACGTCTTGGCCAGAATCGTTCATGACTGGTCCGAAGAGAAGTGCTTGGCGCTGCTGAAGCGGATCTATGAGACTTGTAAGCCTGGTGAGTTTCCTGCAACATGAGTCAAATAGAAGAGGTCTGGGGGGCTCAGTATGTTTGTCGTCCTGTTTCTAGGTGGAGGCGTCCTGCTGGTAGAGGCGCTGCTGTTTGAGAACAGGCGAGGGCCCCTCATGGTTCAGATCTTCTCCCTCAACATGCTGGTCCAGGCCGAGGGCAGGGAGCGCTCCCCATCCGAGTACATAAACATGCTCAACAAGTCAGGCTTCTGCAACGTTCAGGTCTGCCGGACCGGAAAGTCCTACGACGCCATCTTGGCAATCAGATGAGCTCAGAAACACTCCAAGTATCTGATAGGGAAACGACATGGAGCACTGAATTCAAATAATAGCTTGAACCTTCATCAAAGGAGAGCTTTTTACTCAGATCTTGGATTTTGGTTTTAGTTTAACCCTCATATCTTGTTTTCCTCTAAAGTCACATATCTAGGTCCATATTCAGTATTGTGTTAGAACCACATATCTCCACCTGTTTTATTTGGACCAACACTTAGTAGGGCTCTATATTTAAGTAGAAACCAAAGGATACATGGTTTTCCAAGTTTTTATAACCCCTAAATAGTGTGCCAATGCTTACAGTGTATGTATTAAGCTCCACCCACTCCAAGGCTCTAAAGGCCAGCAGGTTTTTAGCTTCGTGTTCCTGCAGGAAGAACCTTTACCCCTGCCTTCAATCCTTTGCTGCCTCTAACAGATTTTACTTCACCTTCAAAGGCTGAAATGTTTGGAAAAACCCTAATCTATCCCATAAAATTCAAAGTTATTACATTTTTTTGCCACAAAATATGCTTAAGGGATATAA